ATTTTTAAAGAAAATACAAAATGATTATAATAAATTAATCATTAGAAATGATAAAGATTTTTACTAAGAAAATAATATAAATTCAACAGTGTCTGTTGTATTGCATAGTGTTGTTTTCAAATTAGTTGTTTAGATTACCAGATATATGCATGCAAATTTATAAAAAGATAGAAAACAGGAAAAATATATAAGAAACAGGAGAGAAAAGACAAAAATGAAAAAAGATAAGGAAAAATCATATCAAAGCTTATCAATGTCTATAACATGTGACATTCTGGAACTCTTTGCAAAAGAGTGAGAAAGAAGCGATAAGCAGGGACTATCAGCTAGATAAATGAATACATGCATTCAAATGTTATGTATTTATGATTGGCCATAGTCTCCAGGGATGTTTTAAGTCTCTGGGGGTGAGAGTAGCAATGATGCAACAGGCTAGGGTGGTACATAATAAGAAAGGTAGAAATCTTCAAGAAGTAAATAATGATGAGATAATGAATAAAATTAACCCATGGATTGTGAGATTTATATGGAGTTGATGAAAAGCATATCAATATGTAATTTCTTACGAATCTTTAAATTATTATTTTTATTGTTTTAATCAAATATTTTGTGTACTATATACTTTTAAATAAAATATGAGATGAATATATTAGGAACATGGCAATTTTTTCTAATGTATTTGGTACAGGGTCTCACCACACAGCTAAGACGAGTAGTGATTCTCCTGTTTTCAGACTCCACAGTGCTGGGATTACAGACTTGCACTCCCACACTCAATCATTGGCCGACTCAGTGGGCCATGCGGGCAGGGCTGGCATGACATTCAATGAAAGGGATCAAACCCTGGTCCCTGTGCTTGCCTAAGCAAGCACTTAGTCCACTGAACGATCTTGCTGGCCCTGAATCTGGCAATTTTAATAAGACTCTCAAGTTGGCATATTGATTTCTGAGATGATTCCGGAAAGTTCTATTTTGTGAATTTTTTAGACATGAGTAGTGTCACTGATTCTAAGGAAGAGTGAATTAGTCATAATTTCTTAGGTGCCTTCTCACTTGTGGTTTTGATTGGATACTCACTGTTTGTAAAATTATCAATTCTACAGCATAAGAAATAATGAGACACCTGCCATAATAAATTTTTATGATGCTATTATTTAAATTATGAACTGCTATATAAATTTTAGCAGTGTATGATTATATTTTTATGTGGTGACAAGAAACTTTTGTATATTTTCTAAATAAGGTTGCTATTCACTGTGGAAATATTTTAGACCTAAGGATTGGTGGATTTAGTGAGATGGCTGATGTTGAAATCACACCGGTGAGTACGTTACCTGTATGTGTAGTCAATTTATGAGTGTACTGCACTTTGCTTCATATATATCATAAGTTAGCCCATTCATATTTTAAATCTATTTAGTAATATGAAATATAAATATTAATTGTGAAAAAGAGACGCAACAGTCTAAAGAATGGATTCTTTACAAATTCACTACTGAACATAGATATCAGAACACTGAAAATACCATTCAAATAATCTGTATGCTTCATAACACTCCTATCCATCATAGAGATAATCACTTGTGAAAGACACACATACTGTATGTGTAAGTCCCTTAACATTACTCCTTTCTGAGCTTTACAATAAAGATATACTGTGTGTAGCCCTTGATGTGTTACTATTTAATAGCATGGTTCTTGTTTTCTACCAGGTTGTATGGAACTATGTCATTTATAGTCACCACTGTATAATAATTTTTGTGTAAACATGCTATAATTTATGTGCTCAATTCATTGTCCACCCACTTAGACAGTTCTGTTTTTTGTTAAGTTTAAAAATGCGGGGGCCGAGGAGATGGCTCAGTGGAATAAGCGCTTCCCTGGCAAGCACAAGGGCCTAAGTTCAATCCCTGGTTCTGCAAAAAAAAAAAAAAAAAAAAAAAACTAAATAAAAAAAAAAAAATGCAGCTGTGACTGTATTCAAGAGCCTTTATAGAATTCCTGAGATACCAGCTATGTGGATGTTTAACTTTATAAGATAAATTATAACATTGTTCTTTGAGTTTATTTTGCTCCACACTCCATTTCTTTATAAATTGCATTGTCAGGTGTAAATTTTTGTCAATCATGTTTAAAATAATGGCTCGTTGTGGTCTTGATTTCCTTTTTTTGAAATATCATAATTCGTTTGTGAATTATTATCTGAAAACACATAAAATTTTGCTCTAAAATTGAGAGAATACACACACATACATGCATGCATGCACACACATACATACAGACACACACACATGCACAAATACATTGTAATTTTTCACAGCCAGACTTTCAGCAATAAGAATTAGTGTTATCTATGCAAAGAATATCTTTCTGATTCTTCAAAGCAAAATTGCATGCTCCCTATTATGATGTAGATTTTATGGACATTAGTTTTGGAATATTTCTATCATAACAATTTCCATATGACTTTGGGATTACCTTTCAGTCTTTTTGTCTTACTCTTCTGCTTCAACACCTAGTGCCATGTCAGGGATGGATTATATGAGCAGAATTTAGGACTTAACAGTTTGGCTGGCTACCTCAGGTAGAACCTCAGGACAAATGCATGCTGCAATAGCATCATAAACCTTCTAAAGGTCTACCTTAAATGTATAATTTTCTAAGTTACCTGTTAGCTAGTAATGAATATTTCAAGTCCAGATAGACTGACAGTTAATAAGTTAGCTTGTTGAAAGCTGTAGTGCGCGCCACCATGCCCAATCTCACTTGCCATCTCAGCGCACCCTGGGGGCAGGCCTGGTACTGCAGGCCCAGGGATTGACCCCCCACCTCCTGCGTCTGCTTGCAGGCACTTTAATCTGCGAGCTACTTGGCAGGCCCTTGAGTTGATGTTTTAAATGAAACAAATAGTAGCTGACGGAACCTAATGTAGCATTTTCATCCAAAAGTGCTATAAATCTCATTTCAAAGTTCTATATAATTCTTTGGTTATGAAACTGTAAAGTTTCTAAATCTATTAAAAAATAAAACCTGAACAATTTCATACCACATACTTAATATATGAACTAGAGCTCAGATATATCTAGTAACTATTCTTTTCATTAGATAAGTGTTAAATAGGTACTAAAAGTGAAAAAAAATGAATTGGAATCTTGAATAAGAAATTTGTATTTGTAAGCAGACTATATAGTGGCGCAATGTAACTAAATACAAGGAACAGAGATAGTCCTAAGAACTGGATGATTAGTTGTGGTTTATTCAGCTGGTCTGTGATGGATACATAAAAATTCATCAGGAAGTTGCTAGTAAGCAAGTAGGCTTCCTGACCAAAGAAAGTCCATGACTAAGACCCAGAAGAGTGAAGTATGGGGTGTTGGCTAGATGCCAAGTCATGCAGCTTGATGAAACATTAAGAGTTAGTATGAGAGTGGAGCTAATTGAAGCTGGAATATGAAGCATGCAAAATCATGAGGAGTTTTACCAGCCTTGCTAATGATCTTGGGCATAGTCCTGTAGATGAAGATAAACCATCAAATTTTAGGACAGAATAAAGTGGTCAGACTCTCCATTAGTTTAACAGTGGCTTCATTGAAGAGAAGGTTTAGGAAAATAAAAAACTAGAAACTAAATGAAAATTGATATTTTACTAATTTTATACAGTTAAAACAACTGTAAGAGGTGAATCAGGGACAAAATTAATGACATGTAATACAGACTGCATGTAGAAGATGAGGGAGAGAATGAAAATTATGACACAGGGTTCTGCTTTGCAGTTGATAAATATGAAGTACATATTTGCATAGGTATAGTTAAATAAACCATAATTCGTAATTATTTTTTCTTTTAAAATTTTAGAGTGTATTTAATTTCAGTGGCACCTTTATTGACTCTACCCAGATTATTCCATTCATGATAAAAAACAGAGGTGCAGCGCGTGCCACAGTGGAGTTTTACCTTAATGACTTTTCCGAGTTTTCGATGATTTTCAAGGTTAAATCAGGTACATTTTTATGCTATTTTATATTATTTTAAAGAAGAGGAGTTTTACATTGCTTTAAGGAATGATTGTTAAAAATGAAAATGAAGGACACTTGTTTTTAAGTATTTTCAATGACCCAATGTTTGATTTTCTAATACTCTATAAATCATCATGGTTTTATTTCTAGAAGTATATCAATTTGAATGTTAGCACACTTTGGTAATGCAGGACATATTACTATCTGCATGAGAGTGAACTTATAGAAATTTATATAGTAAATAGTCCAAGATGAGAGCTTGAATCAGGCAGCTCAGACAGTATTACTGGGAGTAGAAGAGAGTACAAAGGTATGCATATACTGTAAATTTAAATATGTGTGAATTGGTGACTCTGGCTCTGAGATTTAGAAAAGAAAAACAATTACCAGTGACTTCTAGGTTTTGACTCTAAAAGGTGGGGGGGCTGGGATTGAAATTTTAATTAACAGAATGCAAGTAAGGGTAGGATTAGAAAGGCATGGTGTTTTAGGGGTCTGTGGAATTGTTCAGGAAAGATTATAGTGTGTAGTGAGAAATACATGGAGAAATTTCATTCACTTTTTAATTAAATTTTAGCTATTGAAATATTTTTTTCAGTAGCACTTTCTCCTAGCTGTCCCTATAGCGCCATGTGTTTTATTTTATGGTGACTAACTTTTGGCAATTCTCCAAGAGCCTTTCTTTCTTTCCTTCTGCCTTCCCACTAACTCAGGCCTCCCCTTTAAGAAACTTGCTGTTTCTTTTTTTTTTCAAAATTTTATTGATAAACAGATAGCAATGAGACAGTTTCAAATCAAATCGGAAGTACAGTTTCAACAAATAATATACTGCATATATTCTTCTTAGTGGTTAATTGCTGTACAAGATGCGGACTTGAGATCCTATTT